CACCGCCCAGACCTTCCCTTTTTATTAAGCAGCCCCAAGGTGTGGCTTCTCAATGCCTTCTCCTCCGTCCTTGGAGTCGCCCCATGGCCTCCCTCTGTCCTGCTCTAGTTAACTGCCTTTGTTTATGTGTGTCTTTAATGACTTCCAGCTGTGAGTCAGAGTCTGACTCATCTTCCCCATACAGCTGTGTCTCATCCTGACCACGATGGGAGGGGCCAGGCTCTTCATCAGATTGTGAGTGTTGTAACTCATCAGAGCCTCCCTCCGACTCTTGATGGCTCTCCAAACCCCTCTTCCTCCTCCTCCTCTGATTCCCCAGACTCAGCTGCCGGGTCCACTGGCTGGCACGGACTCACAACAGAACCTCGGCACGGAATCCATTTTTATTTCAATTTCCCCCGACTTCTTGCTCTGCTTTGTTCCCGTGGGAGAGCAGGATGTGGAAACGCGCTCTGCTGTGCCCACTGTAGTGCCACGTCTCTGGAGGAGCAGGCGGGAGGGGGTTTCCGTGGCCAAGGCTGGCAAGCCACCAGATGGTAGGGGGAGTGTTGTCTGGCTTGGGGCAGAGACACCCACTTCGGTTGTGTGCGCACCAAGCTAAAGCCCAGAGGCAGAGGAGTGCCGGATCCCTCCAGGGGAACCTGGCGCTGCGTCTCTGCACACCCGGCCGCCTCTAGCCACCGCCGTCTCTCTCCTCCCCCAGTGCCCCAAAGTGTCCCTGGGCCGCCACCTGGACGAGAACACCAAGCTGCACCTGGGCCTGATGTGCGCACTGGTGGCCCGGCAACGGCAGGAGCTGGTCGAGCTGCGCCGCGAGGTGGAGGAACTGGCGGTGGGCAGTGACGGCGTACTAATCTGGAAGATCGCCGATTATGCCCGGAAGCTGCAGGAGGCCCGGCTGCGGAGCAATTACGAGTCCTTCAGCCCCCCCTTCTACACCCACCGGTATGGCTACCGGCTGCAGGTGTCGGTCTTCCTGAACGGCAACGGCAGCGGTGAAGGCAGCCACCTCTCGGTCTACATCCGGGTGCTGCCTGGCCAGTACGACAACCTGCTGGAGTGGCCCTTCGCCTACCGGGTCACCTTCTCGCTGCTGGACCAGAGCGACCCCTCGCTCTCCAAGCCCCAGCACATCACCGAGACCTTCCTGCCGGACCCCGCCTGGAAAAACTTCCAGAAGCCTGGCACGGGGCGCACCTCCCTGGACGAGAGTCTGCTGGGCTTCGGGTACCCCAAGTTTATCTCGCACGAGGATATCAAGAAGCGCAACTACGTGCGCGACAACGCCGTCTTCATCAAGGCCTCGGTGGAGATCCCCCCCAAGATCATTTCCTGAGGGGGAGGAAGACCGAGCGACCGAGGGGTGCTGGGGGTGAACGCCCCCCCCACCGTCCGGGTTTCCCCCACTTTGGAAGAACAGTTCTGCTTCTGATAATGCTTTTTTTTCTGACCCGCCTCTCTGCTTCGGGTTGACCCCCCCTCCCTTCGTTGAAATGGTGCTAATTGCTGCAGGTTCGGGCCCCGAGTCCAGCCTGGCTTGAGGGGGGGGTCACTTTCTTCCCGGGAGCAGCTGGGCTGCCTCTGGGACCCCCCATCTTCTCCCAAGCACCCTTTGGGGTCTGCAAATACCAGCCGTGCGCTGGGCAACGTCAGGAAGCCTGCTGGGCAAGGGGTGGTGGTGGTACAGACCGGATCAGGGCCTTCCAGATGTGCAGGGTGCCCCTATGAGCACTGCCCCCCCTTTCCGGGGAGCAGCTGGGGAGGGGCTGAAAGCCAGCTCCCCAATTCTTCCTTTAGGGCCCACCTTTGGACTGCTGTCCTGGACCTGTCCAGAGACCGGTGTGGAGGGGTGGTGGAGCTCCCCCTGCCCATCACTCAAGAGCCATATTATTGCCCGGTGGGGGTCCTTCTGCCAGTGGGGGGGAGCTGCCCACCAGCTGTAGCCGCAACCGCTACTCTTGTCTCCCTTTTTCGGAGTTACATTTTTTCTGTCTTTTTAATAAACCATTTCTTGTATTTATTAATGGGGCTTGATTGATGGGTGGCCTCACGTCTCAGCTGTGGCACAAAGGCCCCTGCCAGAAAGAGGGGGAGGGGCAGGATTAGCCCCCCCCCCCCACACACACACAACATAGGCTATTCAGCCATGTCCTCCTCTCCTCCTCCTGGGAATTTGGAGGGAGCAGGGAGGAAATCCCCCCCCCATTTGGTTTTAAACTGCCTGGTCTATCTTGCCCAGAAATGGAGGTTTGTGGAGTAGAGGAGGAGGAGGACGACGACGACGACGACGACGACTGTGGGGTCCTTGGTGCTCTCTGAGCTGGGTGGTTTTCTTGCAGACGTTTCATGACCCAACTAGGGAACATCATCAGGGCTAGAAGGGAGGGGGGATTGTGGAGAGGAGGAGGAGGAGGAGGAGGAGGAGAAGGAAGAGGAAGAGGAGGAGGAGGAGGGGAAGAGGAAGGAATGAAGGGGGCAAGAGGCAGAGGAGGGAGAAGAGTATTCTGGGGTCTTTATTGATCTCTGAGCTTGGTAGTTTTCTTGCAGGCGTTTCATGACCCATCTAGGGAACATCATCAGAGCTAGAAGGGAGGAGGACGAGAACTGTGGGATCTTAGGCGCTCTCTGAGCTGGGTGGTTTTCTTGCAGGCGTTTCATGACCCAACTAGGGAACGACGTCAGTGTTAGGGGAGGGGAGGTGAAGAGGAGGAGGAGGAGGAGGAAGAGGACGACGACTGGGGGGGGGGTCTTCGCTGCTCTCTCATCTTGGTGATTTTCTTGCAGGCGTTTCGTGACCCAACTAGGTAACGTCATCAGTGCTACTTCTCTGCCCATGAATCCCCTCTGCCGGTGACCCCCCCCCCCTCCTTGCAGGCTTGTGTTGCAGTTGTGGTGCATCCCACATTCTTTTCAGGAGCTCCCAATTCCAGGGGCTGCCCTTTGTTCCCACCCACCACCACCCCGTTTTCCCACCCTCCCACGGAGGTGCAAGGCCAGAACTACTGTGGGTCTTTGGTGTTTTTTCCAGGCATTCACACACATACAAACACACACAAACACACACACACACACATATATATATGTTTGGGTCTTTTAATGACTGGGTGTGCATTTCCCCTCCCTGTGGCTGCGTTCTCTGGATTCCTTCTCCCTCCAACGTGGGCAGGGACGGTTCCAGCTCAGGGCAGCTCTTAAAAAAAAATCTCCTAGCCCCGGAAACTTTGAATTATCTCCCAGCCCTTGGAGCGTTTCTCCTGCGAGAAAAACCACACAAGTTGTGACCCAGACAACCCTTGTGCCCTGGGGAGGCTTCCCAGGCTTCCTCCCCCCCCCCCCCGGTCCCCAAATCTCCATATCCTGGGGTTGCAGGATTGTGATCAGGGAGCAGTAAAACAATTCTCAAAGATTGCAAAGAATCTCTTGCGAGATACTACTATGGGATCGTAGGGGCTAATTTCAGCAGGAGACCCCTCCCTGGCCACCTTGCAGCCCACCTCTAGGAAGGGAAGCTGAGGGGACCAAAGGGGGGGAGGCCCACCCACCCCAGTTGCAACCAGGGGCCACTGAAGAGCCGTTTCCCTGAAGAGGTGTGACGTGGCCGAGCTTCGATCTTTGCAATCCACGTAAGACGAGATTGATTTTTTTTTGTCTGTCTGTTTCTTTGTTTGAGCAGGGACAATCTGGAAGAGGATCTGCTATCCACACAAAGCAGGTTTTGCTGGTTTTGCGGCAAATTGTTGGATCTTTGCCCCCAGGGTCACTGGAGGCCCCTGCCCTGCTTGGGTGCTGGAGACTGGGGTGGGGGTGGCCTATATTGACCCCCTAGTGTAGGAGATGAGGGTCTCTTTCGTGCTGTAAACATTTATGGGAAACACTCTCCAGCTGGAGCATGGAGCATGCAAAGCACCAGAAGAGGACTGGGTTCGAATGAATAGATAGAAATAGAAATAATAGAAATAAGAAATAATAGAAATAGAAAAATAGAAATAGAACAGAACAGAACAGAATAGAATAGAATATGGAAAGAATAGAATATGGAAAATAGAATAGAATAGAATATGGAAAGAATAGAATATGGAAAATAGAATAGAATAAAATATGGAAAGAATAGAATAGAATGTAGAATAGAATAGAATAGAATATGGAAAGAATAGAATAGAATGTAGAATAAAATAGAATAGAATAGAATAAAATATGGAAAGAATAGAATGTAGAATAGAATAGAATGTAGAACAGAATAGAATATGGAAAGAATAGAATAGAATATAGAATAGAATCGAGAATAGAATAGAAAATAGAATAGAAAATAGAGAATAGAACTGAATATAGAATAGAATATCGAATCGAATAGAAAATAGAGTAGAATAGAATGTAGAATAGAATAGAAAATAGAATAGAATAGAATATGGAATAGAATATAGAATCAAATTGAATAGAGAACAGAATAGAATAGGAGCTGGAAGGGACCTGGGAGGTCTTCTAGTCCACCCCCCCCACCCCCCCGTTCAAGCAGGAGAACCTACACCATCTCAGAAAAGTGATGTCCGGCCTCTTCTTAAAAATCCCCAGTGATTTTCTCAGCTCGTGGCCTGGGCCAATGGCTGACTTGATACCTGACTCTGCCAGGTTAGTCACGGACCGTTAAAAGGAATAATTGCCGGTCTTTAGTAATGGAAATAATATCTTTTGAGTGTGATGGAGAATTGCCACCTGGGGAATCAAATCAACTTCTCTGCATGTTTGGGGTTTGCTTCTCCCCACCACCACCACCATCGAGGCCAGTCAGCCAGGCCGACGCCTCTCCTGAGTCAGGCCAGGTAGCAGGAAAATTTAAATTTTTCCCCTTCCCAGGACGAACCGGAAGCTCACCGGAGTCGGCTGCTTGGCAAAGGTCTCTGTTGGGGCACGTTCTGGATTTCTCCGGATTGCACCAGACTCTCCTGAGCTGGCCTGAAAATAGCTGTGACATTTAAGAGGGGTGTGTGTGTGTGTGTGTGTTTGTGTATGCAAGGTTTTTTCCCTTGGGGATCAAGCCTCAAATAGGCATGCAGGGACTGGGGAAGGCTGGCTTTTTTTGGGGGGGTAGGAATTGTGGCATTTTCAGCCGAAATGCCATTTTTAGATCCCAGCGGCGGTTCTGACTTCAAATGCTTTGTGTCATTCCGGGCACCAGTTTTTCAAAAATGTGGAATCGGGGAGAAAATAAAAAAAAGGATTGAGTGTGTGTGTGTGTGTGAGACACAATAGCCGTGTTCCAATATTGGAGGGGGTTGCCCCAAAGAAGAGGATGGGGTCAACTTATTCTCCAAAGCAGGACAAGAAACAATGGATGGAAACTGACCAAAGAGAGAAGCAATCTGGAATTAAGGAGAAATTTCCTGACAGTGAGGACAATCAACCAGTGGAACAACTTGCCACCAGAAGTTGTGGGTCTCTCATCACTGGAGGTTTTTATGAAGAGACTGGACAGCCACTTGTCTGAGATGGTGTAGGAATTGGGTTTGGCTAGTCTAAAGAAAAGAAGAAACAGGGGAGACATGATAGCAGTGTTGCAGTATCTGAGGGGCTGCCCCAAAGAAGAGGAGGGGGTCATGTTATTCTCCAGAGCACCAGAGGGAAGGACGTGAAACAATGGTTGGAAACTAATCAAGGAGAGAAGCAACCTGGAATTAAGGAGAAACTTCCTGACAGTGAGGACAATCAACCAGTGGAACAGCTTGCCACCAGAAATCGTGGGTGCCCAATCACTGGAGATCTTTAAGAAAAGACTAGACAATCACCTCTCTGAGATGGTGTAGGTTCTCCTGCTTAAGCGGCGGGCTGGACTAGATGACCTCCAAGGTCCCTTCCAGCTCTATTATTCTATTATTCCATGGAAGGAAGGAAGGAAGGAAGGAAGGAAGGAAGGAAGGAAGGAAGGAAGGAAGGAAGGAAGGAAGGAAGGATAGATAGATAATGGATGGAAACTAATCAAGGAGAGAAGCAAACTAGAATTCAGGAGAAATTTCCTGACAGTTTGAACGATTAACCAGCGGAACTGCTTGCCTCCAGAACTTGTAGGTGCTCCAACACTGGAGGTTTTTAAGAAAAGATTGGACAGCCATTTGCCTGGAAAGTTATAGAATCTCCTACTTGAGCAGGGGTTGGACTAGAAGACCTCCAAGGTCCCTCCCAGCTCTAGGGTTCTTCTAGATAGGATTCATTACAGAGTTGTTTCTTTTTCAGCTCTTGTTGGGGAAAAAAAGCCTAATAAAACCCAAGAAACGGGAGGAGGTAGACAATAATATCTAGACTAGAACTCGCCATCGCCTGGTGAATGGCCCAAAGTCAGCCAGCCAGCTTTCATACCTTAAGTGGGGGGGGGGGGTAGAATTCACAGTCTCCCTGTTTCTAGCCTGGGGGCTTCACCACTAGGTTAAACTGCCTTGGCCATCTGCTTGAAGTTGTCAACGCACACATGATCCTCAGAAAAAGTAACACGCTCCAATCTTCAAAGATACCTCAGTCCTTTGGTGTATTTGAGACGAGCAGTATGTCAAATGCCGGAGGAAATGATTCCTTGACAATGCATGGCCTTACACCACACCAGAGTCAGGTTATGAATTTGATTAAAAGCTGCATGACAACTGAAGGAATAATTCTTCATGATCTGAAATCTCAGTTGCATAATATTAATTTACAAA